CATAAAGAAAACAATTTGTATTCTTCTGCCTATCGTGAGGCAAACACCTATTTCTGGAGTTCTTACCTTCTACACAGATGCAAACAAATCAAGTAAGGCAGGGTATAAATCAGGGAATATAAGTAAAATAGTTCAAAGCCCTTACAACTCCGCACAAAAGGGAGAGTTATATGCCATTCTCATGGTACTTAAAGACTTTACAGAGCCTCTGAATATAGTCACGGATTCTCAGTATGCAGAACGAGTTGTCTTGCACATTGAGACTGCGGAATTACAATTGCAGGAAATCATCAGAAACAGGACTCATCCTATATATATAACACACATCAGATCCCATACATGTCTGCCAGGTCCTCTGGCACAAGGCAATGATGAAATTGATCGTTTATTAGTATGTAATGTGTTGGAAGCTTCAAAATTTCATAAGAAACACCATGTTAACAGCAAAGGCTTAAAGAAGGATTTTTCTATCACCTGGCAACAAGCCAAAGAAATAGTAAGAAATTGTCCCAGTTGCTCATTCTACAATCAAACTCCATTACCAGCAGGTTGTAACCCTAAAGGTATTCACAGAAATGAACTTTTGTAAATGGATGTATTTCACTTCCCAGAATTTGACAGTTTGAAATATGTACACCATACCATAGACACATTCTCTGGCTTCCAATGGGCTACTGCCCTCAGCTCTGAAAAAGCTGATTCTGTTATTACACACCTCTTAGAGGTGATGGCTGTTATGGGTATACCTAAAACAATAAAAACTGGCAATGCTCCAGCATATGTCTCCAGTAAATTGGAACAATTTTTCAAATATTACAATATAAAACATGTAACTGGTATACCTTACAATCCCACAGGACAAGCGGTAATTGAAAGATCTAACCGAACCTTAAAAGAGATGCTTCATAAACAGCCAGGGAAAACAAAGACACCTAAACACAGGTTACATAATGCTTTACTAACGTTGAATTTTCTTAATGCTGATGAAAAAGGACAAACTGCAGCAGAAAGACACTGGACTACAGAGAAGACATCTGAACTGAACCAACCAGTGTATTTTAAGGATGTTATGACCTCAGTCTGGAAACCAGGATATGTGTTACGTTGAGAAGGGGTTATGCTTTTGTTTCCACAGGAGAAGAAAAGGTTTGGGTTCCATCAAAAGTAATTAAAATTCGATCAGAACAGAAGACATCTCAGGAGGAGGAAAATAACAGCTCATCTACAAATTCATATTCCACCATGGGTAAAGTGACCTCCTAAAAGGAAAGAGAAGTGTTTTGTTTTTTGTCTTCACAGGTAAACTCAGCAAAGAATACTGGACATATGGATTCCTGAAGAAGAATGAATAGCTACCCTGAGGACCATCAAACAAACAGTAACTCACTGTGTGGTATCAAAGTCTAAATCTCTCTATATTGTTTTTTCATAGTACCCTTTTATCTTTATTTCTTCACTTACCTCAGTCCCCATTCATTTAACTGAAGCTGGCTTTGGAGTTGGATTGGCTCTCCTACTCTAAATTCAAGCATATTATTTAAATAAAATTCAGAATTTCTGTATTATATCAAAGAGCCATTGATATAAGACAGAAGAAAAATAAATTAGGGACTGTTATCTGTGGATTTCTTTTTCTGAAAAGTCTAATTTCCTTCAGGTTTACCATCTTCCCTATTGTCAACTCTTCCAGTATGCATACATATAAAACTTAAATATTTCTTTGTTAACATTAAATGTTTGAGTTTTCCAGAGAACAAGGGATTTCCTGACAGCAATCTTCAACTGCTTCAGAAAGAGAATGAGGATCCACTTCCTTGACTTCACCTGATTCGACTGGAGGCATCTGAACTGCCCCACATCATTGACTCCACCTGACAAGCACTAACCTGAAACTGGCTTGAAACTACATCACTCTACACATCTCCAGACCAAGAAACTGAAACAGCACATCTTCTACAATCTGGCCAGAGCTTCAGATGAGAGATTCAATCAACACTAGAACCCCAGTCAGGAACTTCAATCAAGCATCTCCTGTCATACAGAGACTGTTTGATCTACTGAGATTTTGTTACACTAACATTTTTCTTCTCACAGGTCCCCATGAGATTATCATCGTCCCATCTCAGCAGGAAGTAGTTTTGAGAATTCCATGCCCCCTCTCCCTACTATTGATATTATAGGATAGTTTACACCTGTTAGTGTTAGTTTTCAATTATTTTAGAGTTGGGATTGGAAGGAGGTGTTCAGATTTGGGTGTTCAGATAAGTTTAGGTTTAGATAGGATAGATGTTTGATACATTTTGTTCATTGACACAAGTTAGTTGTCCTTTTTAGACTAAAAGGGGAATTGTAGGAGGAAGCCTGTATGCCACCATTAACCATGTGACTTACTAGAGGTGCATACCAATGAGGTAATAAAAGTGGTTTACCACACCGCTAACCACACCCACTTTAGGCATGACTAAAGACATATACGGGCGGACGTAAAGACGTATACGCACGTAGGCGGTGAACTACATCACTAGCCAGGCCCACTTTTGGGCATGGCTAGGGGGCATTACGGGGGGAAGGCATAAAAGACAGCACACAGGAAGTCTTGGTCTCTTTTCCCGGAGTGCAGCTTCCGGTTCAGCAGCGGAAAACTACTTGGCTCATCTGGGTTACTTGTTTGGTATCTTGTGAGTAATTTCTACAATAAATACTTAGTTTTACTTTCAGTAAGTGTGCCGTTTATCATTACAGAGTCATTTGGAGCCTCAGTACACTATAAATGCATTCTTACATTTGCATGAGAACCTGTGTGTATCGTGTGCATGCATGTTGTATGGAGTGGTATACACATGCACCCTATATGTGGGGTCAAAGGAAGGTTTCTACTTTCTTGGGGGCAGAGCCTCATTTCTGTGTGCACCACACTTGCCTATGACCTCCTGTCTCACCATAGGAACCCTAGGATATGAGCTGCTGTGCCCAGCTCTACACACAGTCTGGGGATCCAAACACAGAGGTTCCTGCTTGCGTGGCAAGCACTTTCCACACTGAGACATACCTCAAGAGGCAATTTAAAATATATGTTTGATCTCCAGGAGGCCTGCAAAGGAGGTGGCATACCCATGGACAGGAAGAGCTGATTTTCTAGACTAATTATTTCTGTCTTGACTGGCTATACAAGTCTCTAGTAAAATACTTTAGCTGTTGTGGTTGGGGGGGTGCTGTCTGTAAACTTCTGTGTAAAATATTTATGCCTGTTTTTAGAAAAGTAAATTTTATTGGAACACAGTCAAGTGCTTTCATTTGTGTATACTCTGTGGTTCCCTTCCAAAGAGCAGTTGAAGACATTTGACAGAATTCATCAAGTCCTGAAGCCCAGAAGTCAACCTATCTGACCCTCCACAGCAAAACTTGACAGCTGCCAACTAAGAGCTTCTCCTAGCAAGGTGATGCTCCCTAACTGCAGAGTCAGGACAAGCCTCCAACACTCAAGCCCAGGCTCCATGCCCGGAAACCTACGTTAAGACCATGAGTGACAGGCAGGAATAAATTTTTTTTGCACATGCCTGGTTAAGAATCGCTCTACTTGAGAACACAAAAATCTTCTACAGGCCTCAGAGGTTAGAATTCTCAGGGGTAGGAGGGACTAATTCAATTGGCACACCTCACTTTTCTAACCACACTCTCTGACATATTTTCCATGTGCAGGCCGGACCCTGACTGCTATATGGTTGCAGAGCCTCTGTCAGAATGCAGGGGGGCTTTGAGCCTCTCACAACTCATACTACATCCCCTTCTCACCCCTCTCCCAGGGATGTGAGCACCAGGCATCAGGCCTCTCTGGAACCCTTGGACAGGAAAGACACTATTCAGAAGTGATAGGACACTTGAGGAGTAGGGCATTGCTAAAAGAATTGAGGTCACTGGGGTGTGCCCTCAAACAGGATATTGGATCTCATCTGTCTTCCTATTTGCTTCCTGGCTGCCATGAAGTGAGCAGGCCTCCCCCACCAGGTTCTTCCATCATGCCCAAAGCAACAGGGCCAACAAAGCATGTACTTTCCTCCTTATGAACTGATTTTTGTCAAACATCTTGGTCCAGCAACAGGAAGCCAACTAAACTAGCATGTCAATCAGAACATAATTGTGTGTGTGTGTGTGTGTGTGTGTGTGTACAGATACATATACACATGTGTTGTCTCAATATATGTGTTCTTGTTTGAGTTCTGAGTGCCCGTCCCAACAAACAGAAACAGAAGTTCAGAAATGCTGGGAATTTTTTCTGCGCATTTATGATTAATTAAGCCTTTACAATCAGATTTGACTTTTGTTGATAACAGGGAATCTTGTAGAACAAATGACCATTATGTAGGTGCCGCACTAAGTCCTCCGGTTGCAGCTCACCTCCCCACCCCAAAGGCTGCTTCCTAAACACATTTGCTCTCAACCCAGGGCACCTGCTTCTGGCTGTGGTGCTCCCAGCCTGTTCCCAGCCTTCCCGCAGGCCATCGGTGGAAGCAGCTTTCCACAAGGTACAGATAACTAGGGTCACTTCCTCCCTGCCTTCATCCCAAGGGAGTCCTGCTTCATCTCCTGGCATTGTCTAGGAAGATGTAGCCCAGGTACCATTGTAGGCCTGGAAAAAGCGCCTTTACAGCTTTCCCTCCTTGCCCTTCTCACTCCTGTCCTGCTGTTTCCTGGCTTTGCCTCCCAGATACAGTGCTTGGACTAAGTTTGTGTGGGTGGCATAGGTGGCCTGGTGGGAGAGGAAGGTTACTATGAAAGGCTTTTGAGCAAACCAGTTATCTGTAACCCAAGCTTGAGCTAGTATCCTGAATTGGGTAGTGCCATTTCCAAGATAGATTACAATTGAGAATAGCCAGGAGACGCCTGCAAAAGCCCCACAGTACTCTGGGAACTTCGCTTGGACTTGGCGGTGTGCTCAGAAACCAGAGAGGGAATGCAACAAAATATTTTCATTGACATTAAACCCAAAAGAGGCTACTTGCCTTTTATATTGCCAGCCTCTGGGTCTTCTGGGCTCAGAGTGTAAACAGGAGAGACTGGAATTCCTATAAAATAATTTATTTAAAAGCACAGATTAAGGAGATGGTAGCATGAACCACCAAGACGCACTGGGCAGGAAGAAGGCCCCCCTCCCTCACTGAAAAGCGACATGCAGAGACTGACTTAGGGAAAGGCCCTGTGCTCTCTGTGGGCAACGTGCCTCATACCCGGAGGCAGGCCTCTTAGCAGATTAGTAAAGGAAATGGTGGCCTTTTCTGCTCACAACTGCTAAATCACTCGTAACAGTTCTGCCCAAAGAATAGCTATGCCTGAACACGAATATAATTTAGGGTTATTTCTATTTAAACAGAAATTTTACTGTTTTTTAAGTAAAATTGAGAGTAGCTTTTTAAAAAATGTTTTCTTCTAAGTTTTTCCCCTGATTTTTTTCTTATTCCATAAAAAAAATCTGCTGAGCCTACCCAACAGTCACAGATTCTAAATGGGTAAGTGCCTGAAATAGAGTCCCTGGCTTCAGACATTGTTTTCTGTAAATATATTTGATTATCCAAAGTAGGAATGTCTCCACAATGAGATGGTTGCTGTTTGCTTCATCACTCTAGGATAGCCCTGGACAGGTCGGTCCCGGCTCCCCATTTCTCCCAACACACTTCTTCCAAGATACACTACATCACACTTCTTCTGAGATACAGTATGTGTACAATTAATAGCCTATTTTCCTCATGAATATGTTAAAATATTCATTCAGATCATTGTAGTAAGGTGGAGGGAGGGCCAGCTTGCCCTCTTGTTCACTAGAAAAGAGAAAACACACCTTCTTGCCCCCATCCTACAAAGTATGGGGCACTAGGTCTATTAAGTCACACTTACAGATTACTGTCAAATTGAATTTCACAGTATTTGAGCCCTTGACTTATTAAAATGGTGATGTCTATTGTACAACACCAATCTAAACATAACTCTAAAATTTGTCTTGGCAACTTAGGGAAATGCTTTCATATAAATACAAGTTACTTGGTTCTGTTTCTAACTCCTCATATACCCTCCATGTCTTCCACTGTTCACACACAAAGACTGGCCATGGGCCAGAAAGGGGAACTCTCATCTACGCTGGATACTTACTCAAGCAAAATGGAAAATCATAGTACCCATCTGCACACGTCTCACAGTTGTCACCATGGAAATTTGGCTTACACTGACAGTGGCCTGACCCCTGCTCACAGTCATCTGCCCGCTCAGGATCACAGCTGCAAGCTAGGAGGAAAAATAATCACTAAGTGACAAGTCCCTTGCTGTATTCATGAAGCACACTTGTCCCCACATGTCTCAGCCATGATCATCATCTCAGACAATCTTGCATAGTAAGTACCCAACGATAGCCAAACAACATGATGATTATTAAACCTTTGTGGGTTTTGTTACTATGCTGTTTTGATGTTAATTATGACAAAGTTGAAGTTATAGGTCAAAGCAGTAGAAAACTGAAGAAGCAACATTTATTATGACTGATTCACTGAATCAAGAGCTTGCCTAGATACTTTTGATAGTATTTCCCAACTGTTATGAAATATATTTATTATCATTATTATTTACACATAAGAATTCTGGGGATCAAAGGAAATATGGAATCTCCTGCGATAACACAGCTAGCAAGGGAACCAACTGTCGAGGTCCCTTGGGCAGTATACATAGCCTGTCATACTCACAAAACTACAGGAGACTTACGGACGCATCCATGGAGCGCATCCACTGGGACACCAAAGGGCCGGTAGTAACCCTTTGCACACTTCTCACAGTTCACACCTGCTGTGTTGTGCTGGAGGAAACAGAAAGAAACTTACAAAGGGGCACCAGAGAAGCCCAGCACTCTTTATTCTGTCCCACAAAATCAAAATTCCACAGTCCCTAAAATTGTCCATCTTGACCCTGTGATGGGGAAGACCTGTGTATATGTCAATAAAGCACTGTTGGCCAATAGGGAAGCAAGATAGGTGGGACTAGGAGTCCAGGAGGACTCTGGGAAGGAGAAACACAGGGAGTCAAGATGTAACTGCCATAGGGATAAGAAGCCCGGAAACTTCTCCGGTAAGAGAAATACTTAGATTAACAATTATGGGATAATTACTTAAGTCAGAGACAGCCAGTAAGAAACAAGCAAGGCCAACAGCTTCATAATTAATATAGCCTCCTGTGTGTTCATTTGGGACTGATGCGGCTCTGGAACCAGGCTGGCGGGAAGGCTTCACCTTTACAACCCTGTGTCTCAGGACCCAAAGTGTGTCATAGGACACTGACTTCACCTTGGCTCTGAAAGCCCCACCACACACGTGGGAAAAGGAAATACAGAAAGGTTCAACACACTGGCAGCCCTGGCTTCCCCCTCTATAAATAAATAAATAATAAAAATGCTTCAATGAACTGGACACTTGAGTAAGAAAAAATAATGACCCTCAACATCTCTATAGCTTCTGGCCAGTCCCTGCAGTTTCCCTCGGAAGAACCAATGGCTTTGGTCAAAGAATGAGATGGTGAGTGAGAATTAATATCTTTTCCGATTTTGGAAGGAAAGCATATAGAGATCTCTGTCTCTAGTCATTGTGATTGTGTCTGTTTTGTTCTCAAACATTTTTATTGTGTGAATGGACAATGTAAGCACGAGGCTCACACACAGAGCACAGTTTTGAGCTGGGTGGCCTTTTCCAATCCACGGTTAATCAAAATCGATTACCCAGCCCACATCATCAGTGTCCAAGACATACACGCCACTGCTCAGTTCTGTGTCTTTCTCACCTGGAAAAGCACTGGGACAGTGCCACTGTTGGGAGGGCAAGCAAAAGGAAATCAAGGAGAATGAATACGACACAATCCACATGGACCACGCACAGGAGCACAGCGGAGAACAAAGGCCCAGTTTGTGTCTCCTCCCTGCAGGGCTTTATTAACAACAGATCCTTGGTTTTTACCACTCTTGTGTGTGGGCTAAAAACCTGAATCCACTTTAGCACCAAGGTCAAAAACCATTCTGGCCACCCCACCAGCGTCCATGGGAACCTTGGGAGCAAACAAGAAGCAGCTGCAGCCTGTCCAACCGCCCTGCCCATCAACGCCCTCCACCTTCACTCCGTTGTTTGCTACTGTGGCTAACCTCGGCTAGCAATCCAATTAGAGCAGGACATGAGAGCTGTTCTCTGAGGTGGGCAGCCTCGGCTCTCGGCTCAATTCGTGCTTAAAGAGCACTGAGGACCAACAGAGAGTAAACATTACAGATAGAATAATGCCTATCTATTTTAAATGGTTTCCTCTAGGACCTCCACAGTCTCAGGACAACTCATACCATTACATTTTCAGACAGATGGGTCCTTACTGGACCAAGAACAGTCAGATCAAGACACAAGAGCCAAGGTGGCTTCACGGGTTTGCAGTGGAGGTCTAGGGGAAGCAGTCCTGCTGGGAGTGTGTGAAGTTGAGCTGGCATGAGGCTTAACATCGAATGAGAATCACAGAGACCCAAGCTGCATAAGTGCAATCAATGGCTTTCTCTGCAGGCATAAAGCCCATCTCCCACCACTTACTGGCTGCTTTGGCTACACCCAGAGACAGGTGTGATATCAGACTTCAGTCTCAGAACTTGTAAAAGTTCCTTCTTTACGAGTTACCCTACTCCAGGTATTCCGTTAGAGCAGTACAAACTGACTGAGTTACTACACGACAGTGTCTAGGGATGGCCTCTCTGTGTGTGCTCTGAGATGATGGCAGATAATTCATCATTTTCACTACGAGTACTGAACAGAAATGGTGGGAAACAGCCAATTTACTGCATTTCTGGGGGATAGGCTTGCTGTAGAATACATGTTCTTTACCAACAAACTCAAACCTGATCACCAAGCTGGCCGGCCCTGTGGCCTTCCTCTCTTCTTTTACCAGTGAAGACTCCCACATCCTGGTGTACATAGCATTCCCCAAATAAAGAACTAAGTGTCCCAACACCATTTATGAGATGTCCATCTTTTCTATTATGAATGGCATGACATTTAAAATCAAATTGTGCCATTCCCATGAGCTGCTATAGGTTGTTAGTTTCTGGCAGACTGTAATTCCAGTGCCAAGTCCATACCCAACTACAGATTGACAAGGGTTTTAATTCTCTGAAGATGTATTTCTCACATTTACTCATTTCTAACTAGTCCTGTGTTCTCCACTAGTGAGTTCAGAATCTGCCTGTCTATCTCCACAAAAGTCCTAAAATTGTACCACATGTATAGTCTGGCTTCAGAAAATTAAAATGTTCATAATATCAAGTCTGAAAAAAGACTGCTCTCAGCACAACTTATATTTGAAAAAATTCCATGTAGTGCTAGCTGTTTGACTTCAGCCCCACAATAAACTTTTGTGGCCTGTTGGAGCTTGATTTCATTCTGACATACCCTATCTTGTGTGTGTTCTGTGTTTGCTTTCTTGTGTACCCACCAGCCTCGTGTGTGTGTGTGTGTGTGTGTGTGTGTGTGTGTGTGTGTGTGTGTGTGTTCCGTGTTTGCTTTCTTCTCAAATCTTCTGGAATTGCTGGTCTTTTCAAACAATGTGTCTTCCTTGTTTTCACTTTATGAGTTCTGGAGAGAGGGTGCATTTTACTTCTTAAATATCTTTTCTGTGTGTGGTAGAGTATGGGGCAGAGGGTGCATACAGTACCTTCCCTTCCTGTCTCCTCGGTATTTGCTATGGGAAGTCTTCACAGTGAATGGTCATACAAGCCCCACCTATAGATTACCATGAACACCCTACTCCATTTATTTATTTGCCACATAAGCATTCTTGATGTCTTCCTCTGTCCGTTTACCAACATCTGACTTTTTGCACATCATGTTTAAGCATGAACTAAATTAACTGGAGTTTAACACATGATATGATTTTTGACCTTATTATAAAATATATGTACAAAACTTTTAATCATACATTTACCAAGTTTAGACAAATACACTTGAATAAGAGTCTCAGTTTCTTATCTCTGTATAGAACAGCACATCAACACCTCAGTTAATCCCCATGCTACTGCCCAGTCAGCCTCCACTGATGGGGGAAGTCCTTCTGTGTATATGTTGTCTTATTGGTTGATAAATAAAGCACTGTTGGCCAATAGGGAAGCAAGATAGGTGGGACTAGGAGTCAAGGAGGATTCTGGGAAATGTAGTCAACAGTAGGGAGTCATCATGTGATCCCAGGAGGAGAGGACACAAGTCTGGCGTTCTCAGTAAGATAAGACCTTATAAAAATATATTCTAGTAATTATGGGTTAATAATTAAGTCAGAACTAGCCATTAAGAAACCATAGCAAACAGCCAACAGCTTCATAATTAATATAGTGCCTCGTGTGTTATTTGGGGGCTGAGACAGCAGAGGACCCAGGCAGGTTGCAGGAAAAAAGCATGGTACACTCCACTCCACCTCCTCAGAGCTAATCACACTTCTGATATTTCCCTCTGCTAACTTGTGTTTAATAATTCCATGCCAATGGCTGCCACACATGAACCCTTTGTGAAAGCTGATCTTCTGTTGCCACAATGCTCCTAAGATCCTCTGTGCTGTACTGCAGCATCAGCCCAGGGTCCTCTTTGTGCCTTAGTATTCTGTTATGCAAATGAGCAAGGATTTGTCCCTTGATCCTACTACTGATGACAGAGGAGATTTGAAAACAAGCATTTCTGGACCTGGAGAGATGGCTCAGCCATTAAAGGCTTGACTCGCAACCAAAACTTTTCTGCTTCTTGTAGATAAACTGGGAGTAGAGTTTATCACAGTGCAGGAAGGCTCATGTTCATTGCATTTTATAAATTGTTGGTCCTTTGCCATGGCCATGGTATACCACTTCAAGTTTCTATTGACAGGAATGGTATATATATATATAGTTGTTTTCCATCTAGGCTCTTTAATAACTGGCATCTGGGGGAGAGTGGAGGTGATTTTGTGATTTTGATTGGCATTTCTCTCCTGACTGAGGCAACTCGGCCCTTGACTGTCAGATTATTGGTAATTCACACACTTACTTTTGTAAGAGGCTGTCCCGTTATTGTGTGGATGTGGGAGGAGTCACCTATCTTCATGTAAGAGCTTAGAACCTCTTTATTTGTTGTGGTTCTCAACCATCTGATAGACTTACAGTTTGTGAATATTCTCTCCATCTGCAGCTTGCTGGTTTGTTTTCTTCAGTGGAAGTGAACAGGCTTTAATTTCAGTGAAAAAGATTTCTTCACCTTTCATTACAGCTTCCTATGACTAAGGGAAGTTTCCTCACCTTCTGAACAATCAGAGATTCTGTGTTTTTCTCTAAAGTTTTACAGCTTTAGTTTTACTTTACATCCATGTTTAATAACAAATCGATTTTATGTGTGGAATAGGGATTAAGGCTTAAGTTTTCCACCTAAAACTCCAGCTGCTTTAGAACCTCTGTGAGAGGCCTTAGTCTGTCTCAGTCAGGTAGCTTTTGTACTTTGCTCAAGCTCACCCCTGACATACGTGAGTCTGTCTCTGCCCTTCTCTGTTCTGGTGACAGCTTTGCCCACACAAATCTACTTGAAAACTGGCTGTAAGGCCAACACCAAGGTTGATACCTACTGTATGTGGTGACTTGTAGCATGATAAATAAATGACCCAGAGGCTCAAATTGGGGTTCAAGCTTCAAGCTGAAGATCAGAAAAGCAAAGCAGCCAAGCTAGTAGATCTTACCTCTACCTCAGCTCAGACCAAAGGGGTGATCCTCAAACTGCTCCCGACTTCACTGCTCCTCAGATTCACTCAGACTGCTCTGCTCTCCTCAGCGTGGCTGAAGAATCCTGAGACTCACAGACCCTGCTCCTGTCTTTTATATCTCTCTAGTGCTGGGATTTAAGGCATGAGCTCTGTACTCTTTTATCTTGATTCAATCCTGTATAGCTCTGGGTGGCCTCTGGCTTCTGAGTCCTGGTGTGTATTTCCACTGCCTGATCTCTATAGCTTGAGGCTGGCTCTGCTTTCGGGATCCTCAGGCAAGCTTTAGTAAATCATAAATAACGTATCACCGCAGGGGCTCACCAGACAGTTGATGCAGACTCCTCCGCCTGCATAGGCACCTTTGCTGTTCAAGCTTGCCCGCTGCTGTTCTACATCCGGGTCATAGTAACAGTCCACGGCATGCCCATGGCAGTTGCAGGCTGGGAAAAAAACACTCTTTGTCAAATTACCAAGCAACATTTAGTGAACTCCCAGACAGGATCTCTGCCCTGTGATTTACAACGAAATCTGTTCTGAAACACTGGGGACACTCTGTAGAGAATTACAGGGAGTTTTACCAAAGACTATTGTGTAAGAGATTGTGTACTTTACAGCTCCTTCCATCTGATAGTAAATGAAAGATCACTTTTTCTTAAAAGACATATAATTGTAACAATGACAAATCAAAATACCTATCAGAGTCGTGTACACAGACTACTGCCACTGCTGGTATTACTACAAACTATTGCCAAGATCTGTATTTATTATGAAATATGTTTACATACATCATTGCATTTAATCTACTTTGTATGGTAGGTACCTTTATCCCCATACCACAGATAGGAATACTGAGATGGAGAAAGGTTACAAGATGATCTATGGCTACACCACCCATAAACAAGAAATCTAGAAGTTTATCCTGTCTTTGATTCCAAATCGTTTATTCTCGGCCATCTGTCTAAACTTTTAATCCCAGGACTATGTATAATGGTGACAAATAGAAATTAGGTTAATGTCTTACTATAGATAAATAACAACACATCTGTCTGACTATAAGTCCTATCAAGATGGAGCTGCACATATTTTGTTTGTGATGGAGCATGGTCCTAGACACATGTTGACACTCAGCTAACCCTCACTGTGCATGGTCTTGGGCCCAAGGTAGCACTCAACTAACTCTTGCTGTGCACAGCCCTAGGCACAAGGTGGCGCCCAACTAACCCCTTGCCACATTGACTTGGATTCCTACTGTGATGATACTATATGCCACCACGAGTGACACCAGAGAATTCATGACGATTGGGAAAGAATGCCAAAAATATCTTTTTAAAAAAATCAATGAAAAAGATCAGAACATAAAATTAGATATAATCTTGACTCTAGTGAAAGTATGCCTAATACAACCACTAAGCTATCTGATTAAAATGCTCATAGTAGCCCCATGATATGGTCTGAATGTTTGTGTTTCTCAGAAACTGACAAGGCAGATCCAGTTACAATGAGAAGATGGAAGGAGGGGGCCATCCTTTATAGGTTGCTTTTGTTGGTAACTGTATCATAGCAACACGAAAAGTAACTAAGGCAGATGCCATGGAGCTTGTCGAAAACCATCACCTCCTCTAATACACCTTCAAGTTCAAAGCAGCTTTCCCTTGTTTTCTCGTTTATCTGATCTCTTCCACTTTCCACACGATTTAATCAGCAACAGCTACTGTGCACCGGGATTTAACTACCTCTCTCGTCTCTTCCTCCAGCCCTCAGCCCTCAAGACAGCTGTAGTCTCTATCCTCTATCTCCCTAAAAATGCTGAGACGGGCAGCTTAAAGCACTCAGTCCTATCCACACACGAAAGCATCGCACACACCTAAGAATCTCTCTTCCTTCTTATATTTGAATTGAGGATGCTTTCCTCTTAAGTCTGATGTTTTCCTTACACTGGGTCTCTCTTATCAGTGTTTACGTTTTCCATAGTTGTTACCTTCAGTCTACGAATATTAAATGAAGAGTCACAAAAATTAACAGTTTGTGTTTCAGATTGTGTGCCCACTGGCAGTGCAGCACGGGAGCAGGCTGTCTTTTCACTGCTATAGCTCCCAGCCCAAGAGTCACCTGGACTAGCGCTGGTGACGAGATGGCCTTGCAGGGTCAAGGTGACTGCGTCTCAGGTTCCTAACCCTTGTCTTACTCAATAAAGGCTCACAAGGGCAAACACGGTGATGCTGGCCAGTCTATCAGTCTGGTGCCATCACAATTCTATGTAATACTAGTTGCTGCTTATCTCTTACTGTGACCAACCTATACGTTCAACTTTCTCATAATCTTGTATGTAGAGGAGCATATAGGACATGCTGGGGTCTCCACAACCCTTGATCGCAGCATCTACTGGGATATCTACCCGAGTCTCTAAAACTGGCGCAATGGCATCGTCTTTGTGGCCTCAGGACACACTAGCTATGAGTCCTCAGGTGGAGAGGAGAGGGGCCCCACTCAGCACCCACCTTCACACTCACTGAGCTGCCCGTGAGCAGCTGGCCGCCAGGGCCTCTGATTGTAGCCTGCACAGCAGCGATTACAAGTCTTCCCACAGGTGTGGTGCTGGCATTCACATCGGAACCTGAGAACGGAGACAAAGCACATTTGGTAACTGAAGAGTTGTTGTAGGTGTGGCGCCAAGCTCAGGGCAATCCTGCCGCGGCATTCTCGGCTTGAAAAGTTGTTCGGCTTGCATTGATTTGATGTTTTGTTTGAGATTGGTTCTCCATTTATCCCAGACTGACTTTGAACTCACTATGTAGCTCAGGAAGACCTTGAACTTCTAATCCTCCTGCTTCTACCTCCCAAATATATATATACATATATACCTATCCCATTTATGGGGCACTGGCTTCATGTGGTGCTGGAGATCAAAGCACTCTACCAACCGAGCTACACCACCCAGAACCAGTGTCAATTTTTACTTTATACTCCTGCTAGTTGAGCATGCACAGGTCATGAGTTCAATCCCCAGCATCAAAACCAAACAAAATTCTCTGTTCTTGTACACAAACATGACATATAATACATGCACAGCACAATCACTGTGCCAATATCAGAACAAAGCAACCTGCATACAAGCCCCTCCCCCATCATCCCCATTGCACAGATGGTGAAACTAAGAGACAAATAGTGAGGCATTTGCCGAAGGTCAAGTGGTGATAGCAGAACAGCAAATGTCAAGCTGAAGTTTGACCTGGAAGTGCCAGTTCTTTCTCCTCGAGCACATTATGTTTCAATAACTGAACAACACTGGGCATGGTGGCTCACACTGTAATCACCCCTCCATGGAGGCTGAAGGATAGACAGAATCCAGGCTAGCCTGAGCTACAGAAAACAATAAATATAAATGAGTAAGAATAAGTGAGTAAGCAGGTACTAAGTTTCCTAGGATGCATTTAGAATTACATCTTCACCGAAACCTGGAGTGATACTGGGAAAAGAACTTCTAACACTGTGTACTCCCAGCCTCCCCCAGCACAGAGACGACAGGGAGACAGCCACTGGAAATCTCTCTGAGCACGAGGCTCCCACAGGCTGCCCCAGCTCTACTGCAGGGCACGTAGCTGAGATCACTTGACAAGGCAAAGGCGGTAAAACTGAGAATCTTCCATCTGTCTCAGCCCTCAGCATTGGAATGGGAAGGTTGTGCTTGAGTCCCCACTCATCTGTGTTTCAAAGAAGACTCAAAGCCATTGTGGAACAGGCTCCTGCAGACCTCCAGAGACTCCTACAGCCCTCTGTCAGAGGCAGAGAGAAGGATGGCAGGACTGAATAGTCACACTCCTGAAGGAAGATTCCATCCTTCTCCCTGCGCTACAGTCTGCGAAGGCACACAGATATGGACGTAACAGGCTTGGCATGACAGCTGGCGACCACCTGGGGTCTCATCAGAGAAATGGTCTCAGCTTAGGACCAATGAAATAGTTGGCACATGCTGGCCTGAAAGAATATTTAAGGGACATTGCTCGAGGAACTACATTCATAGGGAAGTTTTCAGCACAACACAGAAAGGAGCCTGGGCCCTGTCTGGACAATTCCTACTTGGACAGTGTCTGCCTGGACAGTGATCATGTCCCCAAGCCCTTTCTGTACTGATTCTCCACCTAGGCTAAAGGTGAGGAAGCACTTGGTTTTGCATCTATTGCAAAAACGTTTCCAACCTAATCGATTAGACAGTCCTTTTCATGACGGCCCCGCCATCTTTTTTTTTTTTTTTTTTTTTTTTTTTTTTGGTTTTTCGAAACAGGGTTTCTCTGTAATGTTTTGGCGGCTGTCCTGGAACTCACTCTGTAGACCAGGCTGTCCTGGAACTCACAGAGATCTGCCTGCCTCTGCCTCCCGAGTGCTGGGATTAAAGGCTTGCGCCACCAACGCCCTGTGACGGCCCCTCCATCTTATCTAACCTAACATATACCATCATTTTCTCCCCAGCAGCTGACATTTTAGGTTCACAGCAAAGGTGAACCTGAGCAGACTTCTCCTGTTTAGCAACTGCTGAAAAAGCCCAAAATCATGCTCCTATCCACATAGTGAGGTCAGGAGGGTAAATGCTCTTGGTTAAACTGTATTCTGTCCAGAACTAGCTTCACTGATTGTCCAAATGGGCTTCCTCCATCAAGTCACTGGGCCACCTCAAGCAGAGGCTGGTTTCCTGTTCATACTTGCAGATTTCATGAGTTTCACGCCAGATTGCCATTGCTGAACTCTTCTATGTTGAGAACTTAAATGAGACTGAAGGCTGTCTGACCACATGGCAGTCATGAAAGATTTTCTGCAAGGCGGGATGTCCACAGTAAGGCAAGCTCTAACATGAACTCCCACCTTGGCTGCCAACTCCATTTTGAGGTAGCGACTGTCAAACATGATAGAAACCCCAAATTATTGGATATCGGGGGGCTGGAGAGATGCCTCAGCAGTTAAGAGCACTGGCTGCTCTTCCAGAGGACCTGGGTTCAGTTCTCAGTCCACACAGTGGCTCACAACTGTCTGTAACTCCAGTCTCAGGGGATCAATGCCCTCTTCTGGACTCCTCAGGCACTGGGCATATATGCAGGCAAAACATTCAGACACACAAAATGAAATAAATACTTTCTAAAAATTTAAAAAATAAATGCAAAATCATTTGTGATTGTCCAGCATGGTCTTGGGTTTGGGGATTTGGTAGCGGTATTCCATATTATCTATAGTGTGCCGTGATGCTGTGATTGATTAGTCATGTCTGCCATGGACCCACTGTAGTCTGGAAGGAAAGTTTACACACACACACACACACACACACACACACACACACACGCACGCACGCACGCACGCACGCACGCACGGACACACACACACACACACACCTCCTTATCGTGGACTCTGAAACATTCCTGTCGAGATCTAGAACCTGTGTTAGCAGAGTGTGCATATCCACAGCAACAATCAGGCTCATTCATGGCAAGGTGAGGAGGGAGATGACTGTACTTACTGTTTCTCAGGGTTGTCAGCAGTGCAGTCCTCCGCATGACCATTGCAGACACACCGCCCACCGATGCTGATGTCCTTTATGCTGTAATAGTACTGCATGACAGAAAACAGGGTGGCCAGCTTCCAGGGGCTGCAACGCAGAAGTTCTCTCCCTAGCCTCTACCCGCCTAAGGGCTGACTCAACTTTTCCTTTATCCTACACTCGTGTGCTGTCTCTCCTTGCTGACTGGAACACCGATGGGAGCCACATTTGCTTGTAACTTGTCTTGCAAAATGAATGCATTCTGAAATCAACTTTAGTTTTTAAAAAGCCTTCAGGATGTGTCCATTAAACCATCAAATGCTTTAAACACAGGGAAGAAAATTACCTATGGGGGAAAATCATATGTGTAGCCTACTGGAATGAGATGATGTGTTTTAAGTTTGTTTATACTTTGAGCATATGTATCAACCAAAAATGAGTTTTGTCCCTACTGTGTGCAAACTTCTCCTCCAAGGTGTAGGAAGGGAGAAAATACTTCCTAAGATGGATCAGATCCATCTGTAGAAGGAGCTACCAGCTGTTGGCAGTGGTTGGAACCTTCCTAATTCATGTTCAAAGAGGCTAAAACTAAGAGTTCAAACTCCCAAAGGCAGCCAGAGTCAGCAGCAGACCCAGGAGAAGCTCAGCCCCTAAACCAGACCACACACACATTCACACACACACACATGCACATGCACACACTCATATGTGTGCACACACATGCACATGCACACATATGGGCACACACATACATGCACATACTCATATGTGTGCATACACGCACATGCACACACATGGGTGCACACATACATGCACGTGCACACACTCATGCGCACGCACACACACATGCACACACATGCATACTCATATGCACATGTGCACACAAATCTTGCAACACTCACAAAGATAATTGGAAGCACAGGGAAGTGGTGAGCTGAGGCCTTGCAATTTTTCAGAATGCCTAGTTCATCCTTATCACTGCCCCCCTCTACCCAGGGGTTCAGAAAGAACATAGGAAATACAGATGAGCCACCTACAGACAGGGTACCTGACCTTTCTGGAAATGATCAAAACTGTAACAAATCTTTCCCAGGATTCCAACCTCTCTTCTATTAACTACATAAAATGCCCAAACTCTAGTAAGTACAGTGGACATCTTCCAGTTAGCCTTCTAGGTGCCCCTTGCCCTTGGGCTGACCTCTATATTGGCAACAGCCATAGGCTTTCGGGCTCTCTAGCTTCATATTGGGTTCGCCATTAGGAGGCATTTGCAGGAGAAGAGCAAGCTCAGGTCACCTCTTCTACGAGCCGGCTCTGTCCCAAAGACAGAAGATGTTCCTTCACATCTCCTCAGAGTGCAGAGTTTACCACACCACCACATGTTCTCCTCCACTAGGGTCTCATTGTGAAGCCTCTTTCTCTAGGAGGGTCTACACTAGAGCCAGATCTCAGGGGAAGTGGCCTCTGTAGCTTGGGGCATGTGGGTTTCTCTTCCCTCTCTCTTTCATCTGCTGAACTGATGCAGGGAACCTGAAGAAGGACACTAAGACACTGCTAAAGGCAAGGAGCCTGGTACCCAGAGTGACGTCATGGAGCTGAGCTCACCAGCTGATGCACACCGGACTGTGACAAGAGTAAGGGACAAAGCTTTGTTCTTCTTAAGTCTCTGACATTGGGGGCTACTGACTACAAGGGTTAGCCCGTCTGCACCAAGACCAGACTGGCTACAATCAGTTTTTGGATATAACAATTTTCTTATCTTTCCCATTAACCTCAGGGTTCTACCCCTGAGCTACATGGACAGTTAAGCTGCCCAGGCTATCCTGAGACTCATTCTGCAGTCCAATCAGGCCTGGCATTTGCAATCCTCCTGCATCAGCTTCCCTAGCAGCTCGGATTGCAGGGCTACGTCACCAGGTTGGGTTACCACTCACTGGCTGAGAAAGGTACTCAGAAAAACTTATTTGTCAAAGAAAACAAAGAACAAAACACAGCCTGTTGGGTGCTTACAAAACGTTACTCACCCGCCGCGTTACGGTGGGGTCTCGCTCTGCTTTGGAGATAAGATGCCCAAGGAGGGTGTTGGTTCGGAGAAACCGCAAACGGATGTTTGTTGCTTTAGTAAACTCCCTCAGGGTGTCAGAGAAAGTGAAATTTTTTGCACCTGGGCGACCATTTATCAAGGATACGACCACCTTTTAAAAAAAAGACACTCCGGATCAAAGTAAGTCCTTTTCTCAAAAGCAATGAGACACTAAAATAGCACAGGTCCCCCAAGCACCTGGTTCTCGAAGGAGCCCCTGGACATGCTGAGGGGGTCTAACCTCTAGTTTACAGGTCAGAACATTGGCTAGCTCTCGATTCTACATTTAAACCTGGTCTCTGTGAAGATATTCTCACGGCACTCTTACACCTGACCTATCAGAGGCTGTGGATGGGAAGCACTATGAAATGTTGAGGAGAGGTTGCTATGTCTGCAAACACGAGGAAGTGACCCTGTCAAGCTGCATCAAGGCAGCAAACCTGGAAAGACCTGAAGCCGTGGCTCCCACCCTTCCTAACGCTGTGACCCTTTGATACAGTCCCCATGTTGCGGTGATCCCAACCAGGACATTTTCATTGTTACTTCAAAACGATAATTTTGCTACTGTTATGGGTCATAGTGTAAAAATATCTGATATGCAAGATATCTGATACTCATCCCCTGTGAAAAAAGTCATTTAAAACCCCAAAGGGGTTGTGACCCATAGGTTGAGAACCACTGCTCTAAATGCTGTTAAAATGTGAACCAGAACAATGGCTCAGTTTTCCTGTCTCAGCTGATGAAGTCCAAGCCTCAGTGGTTTGAACATGAGCTGTTCACCAGCTAGAAGATGCTAGGTAGACCTACTTAAGTAAGATCTCACACTCCTAACAAGAGATGGCTTGAAAGTCTGTTTATATTCTTGCTACTGTCCAGGAATTCTTCCCTTTCTGCCACATCTCTGTTTGTCCTTCTCCATAGCAACAGCCAGGCTGATTTCACAGCAGGGCCAATGCAACACCAAGGGAACAATTGTTTTCTCCCTAAAAGCTGACATCTACACATCAAATGGGACCAGGTGAAGGGACTCTAGCCAGCCCGAACATGGCAAACATGGCTCTGGCTAGCCTGCCCTTATCTCCCAACCTTTCTGCCTTGCTAAAAACTGTTAGATGGCATTCCTAAAACTGCCACCAAGGTCTATTCCCTTATTTGGTCACTTCCTCATCCTGAGGCTGACCACCAAGGTCCAGCTATCAAAGTATTGAAGTTCAGTAATCAAAAACCCCCACAAAATTAAACAGACCCAATCAAAATTAAACACCTCATCCTAGCATGAGTTCCCCTGTTTCCCTTTATAAAGCACCATTTTCCTGTGGGCCTCTCTATCCAGAGGCAGTCCTTCAGCCCTCCAGGACAAATATCTCTCCTCCCTCTCCCTTTTCCTTTCCCCTTCTCCCTCATCCTCTCTCCTGTCTTTGACTCTTATTCCCTGTCCTTTGTCCCTCTGGGGCAAGTAAAGCTCCTTTGTGCTGAGAACTTGGTCTTGGGTGTCCTGTGTGACACCAGTCCCTTCACCGGGGCTTAGCACAGCCTCCTGCTCCACCCTCCTCTGTCTTATTGGAAATAGTTCATGAGAAGTCAGCAGAGATCCTCACCAGTTACCAGTGACCACGGCCTTCTACCATCAGGAGAATTCTGAGATCTGTGGGCTTTGGATTCCAAACCCTAACTTCCTGGGGAGAATTCAGTCCCAAACGGAACTTCCAACCCAACTCATTCCATTTCTTCCAAAGCACTACTTCCCTCCTTAGTCTATGCTTTCTCCCCGGGAGTACAATGGCATAGCCTCCTGTCCTCCTGTCCTACCCAGCTGCCTCCCAAAGCCACTTACCTCGCCATTTTCCAGAGGCACGATGCGGGAGTACTCGGTGACACAGAGCACCTGGTCATCTCGGGCGATGGCTGTGTTTGCTTCCTGCCCAAACTGTTCTAAGCAATCTCTTCGAGAATCTACAAAGGAAACAGCTGAACATTACCAAATAATGCATGTTTTCTTCTAGATCACTTCCAGTGCCTTGTGTTTCCTTAAGAGGAAGAACCAAGAAGTTTTTTGGACTTCTAGATGGACGCTTAGGATGAAGTTTTTAATTCATGAAAAAGAAATACCTGGTTATTTCAGTTCATTTAGGAACCATGATTGAAGATATGCTATTAACTCTTCATGCTTCGAATAGGCAACTTTACCCTCCAAACAAATTGCTGCCACTTTGATTGGTCATGTGGTCCAGAGGCACTTACATACCACGTTAGCAAAGACAAAAGGTTCAAACTGAGCAGCATGGAGCCCAGGATCCTAACGCAAGAACATGAGTCACAGTTGATTTACAGGTACCTCCCACCAGTAGGAAGAAAACTGTTATAAAAGTGGGAGCAACCTCCATTCTGCATGAGGCATCCTTAGAATCAGTGCATACATGACTGAGAAATGGGGGTATTTTGTGGACAACTTAGGAGGTTCGATCGCTACTTAGTCATACTGAGACAATTAAAAAAAACTAAATCCATAGTCTTAAATTGTTTCAGATAACCAAAGCCCCTAATAGCACAGAAGACACAATTACTTACGAGCAAAATACTGCCATGGTGAGTAGGTGCTTCCAAAGTCGACAGATCTTTCCAAGACCCAAAGATCAGGGCGTGGAGAATTTGCAAATTTGATTAAAACATAGGCCACGTGGAAAAGCTGGAAAAGCAAGAGAGATACAGTTTGTCTGGACTGAGAGTATAACCCTAGTGTGCAAAAGGCCCAGGGGTCAATCCCCAATACCACCAAAAAGAAAAGATGAAAGTCGCTTTGTCTGAAGCTTTGACTATTTCTACAGGATGGTGAGTCCCAAGGCTACAAGATGCAGATCCCTTTTCTATTCGCCAGGTGGACATCCCTACTTAGCTGCAGCCTTTCAAGATTATTACTCCCAAAGCCCCATCATCTTCTTTGCCTCTCAGTACCTATGGTCACTATCATTGTCACATCTTCACCAATGTGTCCTGAGTTTCAGCCAGCCCGCACAGCCTCGTGGTCTGTATCAGAAGCCAGGCAGTAAGTACGGAGAATGGAGCATCATGTCTTTTGAGGAACAGGAACCAGCAGCACAGCTGGAGGTCCTCTAAGGCGTCCCTATGGTTCTGGGGAGACCACAGGTGCAGACTGAGACTGAAGCAGCTCTTGCCCTGTGTCATCTACACTGGTCTCCTCTGTTCCTGTTTCCCCTCTGACCAATGACACAAACATAGGAAGAAATGAAGTTGGGATCTGGCCTTGCTCTCTTCACCTCCGGTTCCTAAATGGCCAGACATAGCCCAAGAAGGCCCAGCGTCTGCGGTTTATTCCCCAGTCCCCTTCCTCAAAACGCATCTGCTTTGAAATGTGAGCTCTGTAATGACACAGGCCTCCAAACTGGTGCTACTATACCCAAAATGTCAATCAACCAAGGATCAAAACCGTTGGGGTGGAGGGTATCACATTGGTACTATGTGCATTATTCTTGTCTGTAGTCTTTGCCAATGCAATGTGGAACAAGTACTTACATCATATTAGGTATTGAAAGTCACTTATAGATTATCTAAGGATGTGCATAGGCTATACTCAAGTGTACCATTCTACACAGGGAATTGGGCGTCCCTGAAGGATACAGAAGAGAGAGGGAAAGAAGTAGAACCAACCCCAGGGACACTGAGAGATGACAGCAGAACATAGGTTTAAACAAATTTGCACTATCATGTTAATGAACAAAGACCTTCCCTGTTCTCCAAAACCCTATCCCCACCATACCACAAGTACCAGGTTCTACAGAGGGTTTCTGAGTTGGTGCCCCACAGACATTAGCTTGCCCACTAGAGCCAGAACAATGAGCTCATCTACTGGGGAGGAGGGGAGCAGGAAGGAAAGGACTTAGACTCTGTGAGGTCCTCTTTCCTCGGAAAAAAATACTACAAGAGAAGACTTGGTAATTCAATAGTAAAATACATGCAAGGCCTTGGTTCAATCTCTAGGAACAAAATCATAGTAATAATAGTAACAACAACAGTAGGAGTTTTAAACTTAAGTTATATGGAATATGTGCTCTCTCTCTGTATGTGTGTGTGTGTGTGATAAAGTCTAAGAACTATTATCAAATATTAACATTTCAAACTCTAAATTCAAAGCCCAAATCTATATTCTCTCTCTCTCCCTCCCTCTCTCTCTCTCTCTCTCTCTCTCTCTCTCTCTCTCTCTCTCTCTCTGATCTCCAAATTTCTTTACACTTTAAAAAATGACAGAATACCCCCATATTAACATATACCATATTAACAATTACAGTTGAGAAAGTTTTGTTTTGTTTTCAAGACAGGGTTTCTCTATATGGCCCTGAATGTCCTGTGTAATGAGTCTTTTCTGTCCTGCGAGCCAGCTCACAAATAATGGCATGGAGGAGTCTGATTGGTCATGAGATACTGCTGAGGGAAGGGGGAAAGGGAAAAACAGAGATGGGGGTGGGAAGGAGGGAGAGACTTCAGTGAGCAGATGGGGGTGTGGCTTGTCGTGTGAACTTACTACCTGGGCCTAATTTAACGAATTCCTGGGTCTATCCACTGTTGTTTAGCACCAACCAGACAGGATGTCCCACTTTAAAAGGTGACCCTCCTGGTTTTTGTCTTGGGACCTGTTTCTGAGGTTCCTCGGCTCACTCGTGCATGTGCTCTGGTGATGGGCAGGGTGCAGTTACTTCTCAGTGCACTGGCATGGTCTGAGGGAGCTGTGGTGATACATTATTCATGACTTATTAGTGTTTCCCCGTGGGTACAGAAAGCAAAGCAGACCACAAACCATAGAGGTCAGGAAATGGTGACACGCACCTTTAATCCCAGCAGCCGCACTAGATAGCCTCAGAGGTAGGTGGTGGTGGCATACACCTTTAATCCCAGGACTCCAGAGACAAGCAGGCAGATCTCTGTTAGTACAGGGCCACACTGAACTACACAAAATTGATCCAGTCCTAAAGAGAAACAGCTCAACCAAAGGTGATCGTAGCACTTGGAATTATACGCCTTTAGTCCCAGCACTATCAAGGTATAAAAGGAAGAACCAAAGGGGCTCATGGGAGATTTATTCTCCAGCCACGCTGAGGACAGAACAGCCCTTTCAGCTTGAGGTACATTTAAGAGCTAGTGGCTGGCTGCTTTGCTTTTCTGATCCTCAGCTTGAAGCCTGAAACCCAACACCAGTCTCTGGGCTTTTTATCTTTCATGTGACAGGGACCTACCACCATCACGACTGTGGAAACCTGCTACCCATTCCTGCAGGCTGCTCTGGCTCAGCGGCAAACCCCTCTAACGTCTGTACTTTCAAATGCTGATGTGCAGTAGTGAGTGGTCTCCTCCGAGTGCTCACAAACTGGCTCAGGTACGGCAAGCCAGCAGGCAGGGTCTACTTGCTCCTGATTGGTCACTGAAAAGCACAACTCAGGCTTCTAACTGGCTGTTTCTGTTAAACAACTTACTCTTACTGCCGACTTGGTCTCCCGTCACTGAAAACACTTCAAAGCAGACATGACTGAGTTTTGAGAGCCACCACAAACAAGAGACCCCCCAAAAACTAGAAAACAGCAGGCACAGGAGTGGGGAGTCAGGAGCAAAGGGCATTTGCAAGTGAATATTTGGGGGGCAAAGACAAGGGGTGGGAGGAAAATCGCTAAAGACTGTGACCTTGTAATTTCCTCTCAAAAGCTTTTGGAACAAGCTAATGCTGGCTTGACTCTTAGGAGACACACAGTAGTCTTGTAAATAATGTTCTGATAAGGCAGATAAGACACTTAGAAGCCTTTTGACTTGAGAAGACTTCAAGGCGAAGCGGTACGAAACCACTGAATGGCAGCTCACTCCAGCCAGCTGCTTATTCACCTCAGGACCCTCCTGAACTGAATATTTGCTATGAATAGAGTCATACATGGACGTTTGAATGGATGCATGCATTAACCAGTTTTTAAAAAGCAGTATTACTGCTCCTGGGTTCAAGAAGCAGATACTGGCAGGTACACAGGTACAGCGTGAACCTCAAGAAGGTTATCCTTGGGTATTCTAATTTAATGAGAGAATACGCTGATACATAAAGAAACATTTTAATAATGACTTTTGCTAATGCTTTACTTTGAATAGTCTGCAAACCTACGGAAAATCTAAAAGCAATATGCAATGGCTGCCTATCCACCTGCTGTTCACATTTTACACACACACACATACACACACACACACAGACACACACACACGCACACACACGCATGCACACACGCATACACACACGCATACGCACACACAACACGCCATTGTTTTGTCTTTCTCAACAGTAACATTTCAGATTGGGATAATATATTATTTATGATTTATTAAAGCTTGTCCGAGGGTTCAGAAAGCAAAGCTAACCACAAGCCATAGAGGTCAGGCAATGGTGATAAACACCTTTAGTCCCAGCAGCCATACTAGTTAGCCTCAGAGCCAGGTAGTGGTGACACACAACCTTAATCCCAGGACTCAGGAGGCAGAGGCAGGTGGATCTCTCTGAGTTCAAGGCTATGCAGGGCTACACGAGAGTGAATCAGTCTAAAAGATTAACAAAGCTCACACCTTTAATCCCAGAACTATATATTAGAAAGCAGCAAAGGGTATCATGTGAGAATTAGTCTCCAGCCACGTTGAGGAGAACATAGCAGTCTGGAGATGGAATCTGAGGTTCAGTGAATCACCCCTTCAGTCTGAGGTAGAGGTAAGAGCTAGTGGCTGGCTGCTTTGCTTCCCTGAACAGCTTGAAGTCTGAACCCCAATATCTATCTCTGTGTTTTTATTATTCATCTGATATTCTGGACGGTTCCACAGTCTAGCCTACAGGCTGGCTATCCTGTCAGAGAACATTGCACAGCCTTATTAGGCTGTTTGCTCACCATCTGGCACAGGTGAAGCACTCTTACGCTGATCCTACTTCCAGGCATTAAACAGCTTGAGACGTTTTGTTCTTCATTGAGAAGGGAAGATGCAGGTGGAATGAAACACTTCCCTGTGGTGACTGTGTTGAAGGACTTTATAAAGAGCCCATCCTCAAGACATCATCAGAGTCAGTGATAAAAATATAACTCAGCCAGTCTGCAATCTGACCCTTTAGCCCTGGTCCACAGAGTGCTCCCATTGGCGGTTTACAGGAACACTCCTATCTCTGCATTTGCCCCCATTCTGTGCTGGAAAACCCAGTCACTTGCCTCTCATCAGAAAGGTATATTTGGTCAAGTTCTAAGGAAGCACTCTTAGCTTCTTACTGAGTCCCAGAAGAAACTGCTCACTTGGAAGAGGGTAAGGTAGAACATTCCATAAACTGTCAAGACATGATTCAAAAAAATGCTACATGACCCCTGACCCTAGCATTTCTTTCTGAGAGGACTCCATTGCAATGGTGATGAAAACAGACCATCAGAGGCTTTCTGGGTGTTTTCTTAAAACCTCTCACAAGTCCTCCTCTACCTGTGAGGGCATGTATACCCTTCATCCCTCATGTCAACCTGCCCAGAATAGAAAAACAAACCCATACCAAGGGCACCTGCATTCTTCCTAAGTAATGAAGACTTGAACCCACACCAAGGGCCCGACACTCATTCTAAGTAATAAGGACTTGAAGCAGCAGGAAGTCAAAGATTAGGGTAGAAACTAGGAGAGAAAAGT